CAGCCCCCTTGCCTCCGGACCCCGGCCGGGGGCGCAGGGTCTGGGGGCTGCCCAGCAAACCGTGAAGCCGGTAGCGCTGGGGCAGCCCGGCTCTTAAACAGAGCCAAAGAGTTGGGGAGGAGCAGAGCCTCCAGCCGCGGCGGCTCTGCTCCTCCCCTGACTCTTCGGCTCTGTTTAAGATCCGAGCTGCCCGAGCACCGGCTTCGGGCAGCCCCCTTGCCTCCGGACCCCAGCCGCCTGCCGTGCGCTTCCCCTCCCGGGCTCCAGCTGCGCTGGGGAAGCGCCGGCCGGGGGCGCAGGGTCTGGGGGCTGCCCAGCAAACCGTGAAGCCGGTAGCGCTGGGGCAGCCCTTTCCTCGTGGCTGGGAGTGGGAGGAGGAGGGGGCGGGGTTAGAGCGGGGAGGGGCGGAGTTGGGGCGGGGCTGGGGAAATGGGTGGGGCCAGGGCCCATGGAGGGTCCTCTTTTTTTGTTTGCTGGATATGGTAACCCTAATACAGGCTCGGCACTAGGATTTTTGAGGGACATATCCCAGGGGCCTTAGCGCCTCACTAAATTGAGCCGCTTTAGGAATTAGTTCATGGCATATGGTGGGAAAACTTCTGAGTCCTTCCCGAGCCCCTGTGCACAAGTGTTCTTAGCCCCCAGTGCATCAGTCCATTCCCAACAGGGCCACTAGCTCACTATGTGACCATGAGCAAATCATCTTTCCCTGCTCCTATATTTATTAATAGTACTACTATTTAATTCTGATGTGTATTACCATAGTGCCTCGGAGCCCTAGTCATGGACCTGGACCCCACTGTGTACGAACACAGAACAAAAAGACAGTGCTTACAATTGAAGTAGGATTACTCAGCTGTAAATTGGCTACAGTAATAAAAACAACACAAAGGGACAGTGCACCTCACAGGGGTGCTACCGGGCTTACAGAAAGTGAATGTTTATATACTACTTTGAGATTCTTGAATGAAGGACACAAAGCAAGAACGAACTCCTATACAGAGCTTTAGCTCAGGGACATTTGTGATCACGTACAGTAGCACAGTTTTAGAGAAAGGTATGGGATCTGCCAGGGAAATGGAAGCAGAAAACAGTCTCTGTGCAAAATGGACAATGAGAATCAATTAAGTTCCTCCGACTTTTGGTTATTTAGAATGTTTCACTTTTAAGTCTTTAGTGCTCTAATATTTGGGTGTGAAACTCAGCAGGGGAGTGTTTATTTACTTAAACAATTGCTTTTGTTGGAGGTTTTGGCTTTTGTTTTTAAATTTGTGGAAATATTTTTGTTGGTGTCGGGCTTTACAATGGCTTGTTTCTACAACTGTCAAACCTTGAGCCAAATTTAAATTGACAGTGCCCCTTTACAAAGCTAGGCCTCAGTTCTGCAAACACTCACATGAGTAATTCTAGTGAGCAGTCCCAGTGACTTCACTAGGAATTAGTCATGTAAGTAAAGTTACACGTATGCCTAAGTGTTTGAAGTATCAGTGCTTCAGCAATATACTTTTAAAAAACCATGCCAGGAACTATTTGTTTAATCCATTACATTTTTAAATGGTTTCAAATGAAAATAATCACCAGGCTGCGGCTAGAACTACTACTTCCAGAATGCAAGGCAACTGAAGCTCTAATCATATGACTTAAACTGAGCTCTTGCGATTGCTAGCGTCTGCAGTCACATGATAGAGTCACATGAAAGAGTAAAGATGGCTGCAGTGACAGAAGAGCAGTTTGCAGCTCTGCAGATCTTATTGAAGGTAAAATAAATAAATAAATTAAAAAAAAGACACAAATGTACTAAGTTAGCATGATGTTTGCCTTTTAAAATCCCTGTACTGTTAAACAGCTGCTGAATTCTGCCCAAGAGGTGGCTGCATTTCACTGATCCCTGGAGAGAGTTTGTAAAGCAGTTTGAGAAGAAATATGCCAGCTAAATGTGACTAATAAAAAGAGACAATGAAAAGTGTTTGAGCTCATTCGGCTGCTGCCTTAAATGGTGTTTCTCTTCCTGGGCTCAACAGTGGTGCACTTTGGAAGCTGCCACTTATAGAGATGAACTGCATGTAGTCATTTATGCAAACTTTGGAGACAAGGGAGATGAGGTTTTAAGTTGGTGATGCCTTCAAAAAATGCCGTCTCCCCATGGTGGATCAATTCCATGCACATAAATGAGCTCTACAAGCCTTATCGCCTCTTAACGACAGAACCAGAAGAATGTAAAATGAAAGCTTCTGTATTAATAAATGACCACCCCTCCCATCCTTTCAAGCAGTACTTTTTTCCTGGTTGGTGTGGTCAAGGATTTGTAGGACTGATTTAATTTGTTGCTCTTTTAAGGATATAAAAAATGGGGGAGGGGGAGGGGAGAGATTCCAGATTTGAAAACACACACAAATAATTCAGGAACACAGTATGATCTGAACACAGGATTGGGACCTGGTGCTCCTAAATTCCAATTCTGTTCCTGCCACCAACTCCCTATGTGGCCTCAGGCAAGTCACTTCACCTCTTTGTTTCAGTTTCTCTGTCTACAAAATTAATAATGCTAACCTGTTGCACAGGGGAGTTTTGAAGACTAAGTAGTTATTAGTTCAGTGCTTTGCAGTTGTCAAACACTATAGAAGTACTCACGTTTCTCTGCATATAAATAATGGTTTCTGAACCCTGCACTCATTATTTTCCAGGCTTCCTCAAAAGACGTAGTTAGACAACTATGCCAAGAGTGCTTTTCTAGCTCAACAAGAGGCTCAAGCAAATTGATTGACAGCACCTGTTCCAATCTGTCTGTGACATCAGAAGAAGCAGCTCAAGTAAGAGTAAAATTGTAACTCCAATAGACCTTGGTCATCAACAGGTGGGATTGAACCGGGGACCTCTGGAGCTTAAAGCATGAGCCTCTACTGTCTGAGCTAAAAGCCAACTGGCTGGTAGCTAAGGCTGTAGAGCAGACTCATTTTATCTCTCTAAGTGATCTCGGTGCCACTAGATGGGACACAACACCACACCCAGAAGGTGTGCGAGTTACATAACATGACAATAAGGTCTTATTGACAGGGCTTGCATGTAACAGGTGCTTTTCCCTCTGGCTTTTCTCTTCACAAGCAGCCAAACACTGGTGAGAAGCAGATTTTGAAACTAAAAGTAGGTAGTTAATAATCTGCTTTCACTGTGATGGCTAATGAGGCAGTACAAAGTCCTCAATGCGACAGTCAGGCTGTCAGAACTCCACTGGGGCTCTGTGTTGGCCTGTGAGGACAGGACGTCCTCACAGATACTAGAGCACAAAATGGGAAATTCTGCTCAACAAGTACACTCAAAAGGGATGCAAATTCTATATACATTCATCTACCTTACAGCAGGGATCATGAATCAGTCAATGTTAGCAAAGCCCCTTAAAGGTCTAAAGTGCTTAAATATAATTAAGCAATTGTAGCAGTGTAAGAACAAACATTAAATGCCTCTAAAAGCCACTCCAATTTATTTCATGCAGTAAGTTAAGAAAGCACTGGGTACAATCCAAACAGGTTTTTTTTCCTCCTCCATTTACCTAGCCAAGGTTTTTAATAAATTGTGTTTCATTCTATGAGTTTAGTGAAAATATGGCTTTAAAACTTGCTCTGTTCAAACTGAATTGCTGCCTATGGTTAAATCGCCAGTCCTACATCGGGATCAGCTGGCACAGACACTTGTGTCCTATAGAATACCATGCAAGATTGGGGCCTAAATCATGCTAACCGGCTTAAGTTTTTTCAAGATCGAGAGTTAAAATATTCAAAAGTGCTTAAGTGAGTTAGAAGCTCAAGTCCCATTGATTTTCAATTTTCCCAAGGCTGAACAAGCAGTACAAAATATAGGTAGGACTATTCTATAGGAAGCAACCCTTCATCAGCAGAGGGATGGGCAAGATCACCCAATAAGCATATTCTGCTTCCAATTTCTGTAACTTCATATGTCTAGTTCATCCTTAAAAGTGATTTCTTCTGTAAAGTAGTAATATGAGCAATTAGGACCTGACTTTCAGAAGGGCTGAATGCTTCCAACTTAGCACAGCACCACTGAAGATCGGGCCCGGGTTTTGAAAATCCTGGGGCAGTAGTTATAATTATAGTACTTACTAAAGGGCTTAATACAGGGGTCGGCAATGTTCGGCATGCGGCTCGCCAGGGTAAGCACCCTACCGGGCCGGGCCAGTTTTATTTACCTGCTGCGTCAGCAGGTAAATAAAACTGGCCCGGTCCGCCAGGGTGCTTACCCTGGCGAGCCGCTTGCCGAATGTTGCCGACCCCTGGCTTAATACTTAGTTGGATAACATGACCCTGAATCCTTAACAGGAAGCTGGAGTTGTCTGTATTTGGAGAGTGCGGGTTGGAGTACAGTGGATTGTGAGCAGCACGTATCAAGGTCATTGTCATTCCTTACATAAAATGAAATTCTATGACCATGACTTTGCAATTGGCTCCATGAGGGCCTGCCAGCGTGCATCTGATTGCTGGAGCTGGGCCTATGCGTGTACACTGCCCTGCACCGCATCTGGTTACTGAAGTCATTAAGTCATTTCCTGTGCAGTATGTAGTGCCCTTCATCACTTCAGCTTCTTTTCCATTATCTGTTCCTTTCCTGCAGCTGATCTGCTCTTTGCACAACCTCACCAGGCACATTGTGTATCGGGGCCTGTCATCTGCGGAAGAAATTCTCTCTCTTTTCCCAGAGAACTTCCACCAGAGTCTAAAAAACCTCCTGACCAAGATAATTTTGGAAAATGTGTAAGTGCTTGCCATTTGATTTTCATTTGGATGTAAAGCAAGAGGGTGTTAGACATTCCAAGTATTCACATGGCTGGCAGTCTGGAACACCTCAGCATTGTAAGGGTTAGTGATGTGAGCCTTTGCCACAGTCATTGAGCACTATGGGGCTGGGAGGGATGTAATGTAATAGAGTACTTTCTGCAATAGAATGGTAGATTATACCCTGGAATGCATGCTAAGGTTTTCCCCGGGAGTTTAGGAAGGGGTAAGGCAGTGTTTCTCAACAACTGGTACCTGAGATCTCCCTGACACAATTTAGGAAGGCAGCAAGCCTGTCCCTGGTATTCAGAAGATTGAGAAACATGGCAATAAGGGACAAGCCGTCCCTCTGTCGATGGTACTTATCTAGCCTCCATTACCATGGTATCTGAGTACCTCAATCTTTAATGTATTTATCCTCACAACACCCCTGAGAGCAAGTACTACCTTCCCTGTTTTACAGATGGGACTGAGACAGAGACCCACACCCAAAAAGGTACTTAGGTGCCTAAACCCTGGTTTCAGGCTTCACTGCGATCCACAAAACTCCCACCAAATCACGTAGGCACCTAAACTCACTTGGGTGTAAACTCACCCTAAATTTTCAGGATAACAGTTTACTCAGGGCTTGAGTTTGTGCCTCTGAGCACATGCACTGCTTCTTCCTTCTAGGCATCCAGATGCCCATATCCCATCTAAGCACTAGAGAAATCCGTGCACTCTAACCACTGAGCTACGGATTTTCTCAAGCTCGTAGTCATTGGGTTGGTGAGAGAGAGTGAGTGCATGTGTAGTTCTGGGTCGGAGACTCAGGTTCTAGTCCCCCTGCTCCAATCACTCTTATTTATACACAATGGAACAGCTTCAACAGGAGAGCCTGAGGGAGCCCTGTGTTAGAATATCCCAAAGCTCAGTGGTTAAAGCATTCTCCTGAGAGGTGGGAGACCTCTGTTAAAATCCTTTGTGTCCTTCAGGCAGGGGGTGGAATTGAACCTGGGTCTCCCACATACCCTAGGTGAGTGCTCTCACCAGAGTTAAGTTATAAGGTGGGTAATACCACCTTTCCCTCCTCTTGCAGCTGTTTTGTGTGGACAGAGGCAAGCACCTAACTCATTTTCACAAGAAATGACTTAGGCACTTAAGTCATATGACTCCAGCAGTTCCTGGTTGCAGATCACTAGCAAAGATAGGTGCCTCCCTGCACCTCATATATAGTGCCTATCTCTGTGAGAGGAGTGGGGCTTAGGCGGCTCCCCACGTAATGCACTGGCTTTTGTGGATCTAGTTCTAAGGCATCTATCTTTTCCCCCATTCATTGTATGGGCCCCTAGGGAGCCTAGGCACCTAACTCAGGCTTTGCGGATTGCAGTGTTGTTCCTGTGATTTTTCTAGGCACCTAAAAGGTATTGCAACACCTAAGTCCCTTTGTGATCCAGGCCTAAGTGACTAGCCCAAGGAAGTGTGTGGTAGAGCAAGGAATTGAACCTCTGTCACTTAAATCCCAGACTAGTGCCTTCACCAATGACCCATCCTTACCACCTATCAGACTGTCTCACAGTTAAGGGAGAAAATGTAAAGATTAAAGCTATGCTGTGGAGTCTGAAGCTAAATATACAGGTCATCAGTAAATTGCACCAAGTTTCTGATGGCAAAGCAATTTTGTCTTGAATACCCCGGGCCAACCTTCCCCTTTGTTCTAGTTTCTTCACCCCACCAACTCTTCCAGTTGCCACAATAAAGTTGCCACCTGCTATAGGTAGTCTCATATCTCCACCCACTTTTTCTGACTGATCCTTCAGAAAGGAGCCACCCTGCTCACCATCCCTGCTCTGCACTGCTGCTGTAATCTCTTTTAAAGCTCTGATCATATTTTTTCTCTCTCTCTTCCCTTTCGCAGCTCCGTCTGGAGGAGTGAAGCACAATCAAGTCAGAGTAAGTAGCAGGTTGCATTTTAAGGCTATTAATATTTCCAAGAGGATTAGCGAGACCTTGAAATGTAAAACTGTGAGGTATACTACAATAGTGTTTGCCAAACTTCTTTGAAAACTGAGCCCCCCTTCAGAAAGCGAGAGCAATGTTGCCCCCACTCTGCAACCTTCCCATGGATTGTCAAGGGCTTGTATTGTAGCGTATACATCTTCAGTGCCATCCCAAACTGTCCTTGCTCTCCGAACCCCCCACCCTCACATGTTATAGAAAACACTAGCATAGATCTTTATAATACAAATCCTCTGCTTTCTCACATGATTTGGTGTTTAGTGAACAGTTAACAGTGCTAATATTTAAAGCATCATCACTGGCATCTGAAATAGCCCACTTTTAAGTGTCTGGACAGTTCACCCCTCAGAGACATTTTTTCAGGCTCTCTGCAAACTCAAGCAGATTTCTCTGCATTGATTACACTTGCTACACTGTTTTTTTAAAGCTTTTCTTTGAAACCCTAATTACTAAAGAGTTTTCTTTCACAAGAAAGCTGACACTTTAGAGAGAGTATGGGCCCTCCTTGCCCCTCCCAATGGGGTAGGGGCGGGGGGCAGCACACCAAACACTCTGGGAAAACACTGCAGTAAGAGAATCATTACGGAAGGGGTTTTCAAACATTTTGATAAAGTAGAAATCGTGGAGAGAGGTTGTTCCACAGTTGCATAGCATCACTGGCAATTACAGCAATTGCTTACACTAAATATTGTCCTGACCATACTTTTCCACATATTTTCACATTGCAATGTGATCTAGGAAATGAGATGAGCCAGTGCCATCTGCCCAGCCAGCTCTCCATAGCCTATCAGCAATGGCTCTGCTGACTGCTGGTGGCCCTCGGACCATGTTCAGGAACCCCTGCTTTAGGGCTTCTGGCCCTTATTTTAACCCAATACTAACTGCTGAACATGGTGGAATATCCTGTTGGAAAGAGAGATTATTTTCTGGGAAATGTTGGATTATGCTATTGCTATTTATAAGGCATCTGCTGCACATTGTAGAGGGGCAGATACGATGATTGAAACAACAAACATTATGAATGGTCAATTGACATGCTCATAAAGATTAGGACAGTTACCTGGACCTCCAAAGCTACCGGCAATGACTCCCTTGCCAATTAAAAGACAAGACTAAACAGATGCATCTTACGTTGTGTTGTGAATGCTTCCAAATACTGGACTTTAACTGGGAGTGGCTTCCAAAGGCAAGGGCTTGCCAACCAAGGCTGCCTTGCCCCCTGGGGTTCAGCTCTAGGGACAGATGGCAAGAGCAGGGTCCAAAATCAGTGCTTGAACTTGGCTCACCCATTGCAGGTGAGTCCCCTGACCAATTGGCTGTTTTGGGGTCTCTCTCTGCTTTTCCTTGAAAGGTCTTGGTTTCCTCCATGTGGTTAATGGGAAATGATTTTTTTTTTTAATTTATATTTTTGCGGAATGGGAAAACAGTTTCCTGCCCAGCTCTGCTTTGGAATGCAGCTTGTAGTTATTTTCCAAGGCTGTTCACGTATCGGTAGCTTTTCCAGTTTGGACACAAGGTGAGTCATGTGATCACCCTGCTGCCTTGGCAGACTTGCTGTAGTATTGATGCTTTTAAGCTTGCACAGCCTCTGACCTCTTAATAACCTTGAAAGACACAGCTAGGCTGTGGGCACGCCATCAGATGAGACAATGTAACCCTTTGCTCTCCTAGGTGGAATACAGATATGCAAATAATTCAACTGTCAGCCAAGTTCAAAGAGCCTCATTCTCTTGAAGGGTTTATAGTGTTTCGGGCCTCTTAAGCACCTCCATCAGTATTGCATTGAATTGCTGTTGAATTCATTAGATCTAGTCCAATAGAAATAAGGTCAGGCTGAGATCCATTAGTCATCCATCAAGTAGAAGTGTCTCAGTGCTTTTAATGAATTGGTCAGGCACACAGAGGTGGGTGTTCCCCTGTACATACACTGGAGTTCCTTTGCTAGCAGGCATGGGAGTGGAAATCATGTACTTTACATTGCTTAGTTTTCAGATCATTCCTACATGATTTATCTTTGGCTGCAGCATGGAGTGAGACACACTGTAGGGCTCAAATCAGGGCACGCTCAAATGCTGGTTGTATGCTGCAGGCAGCAAGCCAGTTCAATAAGGCAAGAGGGATGCTGGGATGCCTTTGGAGAGGGGAGTCAGTGAACCTTATTGCTCCCTTCCCCCAATTGTTTGACACTCTTTCTAGGGTTGTTTTGCATGCTACCACCCTTGCGTATGGTGCTGGGATAACCTTGTGTGCTGTTTCATTGCCATGGGAGGGGGTGTCCAGCTGCCTGCAGCTCATGTGTCGTGCAGAGCAGAGGGCTGATTGAGAACCAGGAGGCTTGAAATTATAAGCCTTCGGTTTGTTTCAGTGCAATTTGCCAGCATGGAAATGTGGATCTGGAACAGTTCACTGGCTCCCATAGCAAAGGCAGGATTACTGCATGTGGACAACCCCAAGTATTCATTTAACTAACAGGTAACTTTCAATTCTGCAGTCTCCCTGCCTCGGCTGGTTGATATGGACTGGAGAGTGGACATCAAGACATCCTCGGACAGCATCGGCAGAATGGCAGTCCCCACCTGCCTGCTACAGTTGAAGGTAATGCTAAAATGGAGTCTAACCTTCCCTGGGTTATAGTGTCTAGGTGACTGACTCTCTTGCACCTGAACTCTCTGTGGCAGCACAGAGGAGTTCAGTGACAAGCTATTCATGCTGCTAGAGGGGCACAAACAGAAATAATGCAAGAGAGCAGTATACTTGGAGCCCCCATGTATGAGGTCTAGAGGGGAAACCGTGACAGACTCTTCGCAGTATGCGAGAGGGATCTGCTGTTACGAGGAGCCAGCTTGCTGGGCCCTACGACAACTTGAGTTCTCTGAAATATGGGGACAGCATTAGCCTAGCAAACCATAAGGTGCCATCTGGCCCTTCCTCCAAGACAGTTATTCACTCTTCAGCCCACCCCCTCTTTAGTAGATTATTCTGGAGGTAGTGTTTGGCTCGCAGTAGACTTTGAAGAGACCTCACTCAGCTGTTGATCAGCTAAGATGGGGTGGAAATAGCTAGCCTTACAAGTTTAAATCCCAGGAGGGTCTATTCAGCCCTTCATTCTTCAAGAGCCATTGAAGTGAGTTAGGATGGGTGGCCTCTTCTGGAGGAGATATTAGGCAGAGAGAGAAAAATCTGCTAGCTGTGTACTCTGTATTGACTCTAAAGAGCCCATTGATATTTCTAGTAAGAGTAGCAGATAGACACTTCTCATACTAGATGGGGTTTTGCCCGGGTATCCTTAGTCAGAACTTCCCCATTACTCATTGTTGTGCCAGATAGTTGCTTGCCTTCTCCAACAGAGGAAGCTGCATTTCATTGGTAATGTACACAGTTTGGGGAGCACACTGTGGTCCTTCAGGAGGGAAGATTGTGATGTAGGTCAGCGATTTTTAGTCCATCTCCAATCAATTCTGATTTTGAATGGAGGCATTGAGGGGGAGGGGGTTTGTATATGTGGATGTTCATGTGAGTTCAAACCACATTTCTACTTCAGATTCAGGAAGATGCTGCATTGTGTGGGGATAACCCTGTGATCTCTGCAGTGACTGTGGAGCTGAATAAAGAAACCCTAGACACTATGTTAGATGGTCTGGGAAGGATCCGAGACCAACTCTCTGCAGTAGCAAACAAATGAATGTCTGGGATGTGAATTTCACCTGCCATTTGTACCTGGAAAGGAACTCTCCTGTATTACAAATAGAGCTCTGATATCTTACAGACTGGTATCTCTCTCTCTCTCTACCAAACAATATTTAAAATGGTTTGATTTTTTTGTTGGGGTGGGGGAGGTGATAACACGGCTTTCCAAAAGCAAACGCTTCAGTATGCATTTGCTCTGGTGCCAAAAGCATTTTACTAATGTTGTTGAACAAAAACTGGTCTCCCATTCAGAGAAGGATTTAAAGGCTCAGAGCCTGGCTTAATCACAAGGGTTGTAATGGGAAATAGCAGCAGCCAGTGGAGCAAACGCTGTTTCCCTGCCCTGAGATTAGGGACGAAAAGATTGAGGATAGCTGATGGGCTGGCTTCCAGCGTTACCAGACAACAAGAGTGCTTCTCTCTTGAAGGTGTGTGTACTGAGGTGCATGCTGTATGTCTCTCTCTCTCTCTCCCCCTCTCAATGAGGCACAGCTAGGCTACAGATCGTTATTATAGGATAATGTTTTGAAATAGGGCAATTATGTTGCGGTGCATTCCCTTCTGATCGACTCCATATTACTATTTGCAAAATGACTAGTCTGAGCACCTCACTGTAACTGGGTTGGAACAGCTTTAGTAGCAAGTAATTTTCTCCTTCGGGCTGAAAAGAAAGGGGGGTGGGGTTTGCTCTCTCATGTTGGGTTTAATAGACTTAGGCTTTGTCTTCCCTGCAGAACAAAAAAAGGTGCGAAGAGAGATTTAGATGGTAAAGAATCAGTAGCAACTGTGTGTACCACAGCTGGTACCTGTACCCCCAAAAGGCCAAGTTACATCTTCATGTAAAATAAATCTTTTTAATAAAAGAAAAAATAAACCCGTTACTTGATTGACTTCAGGTTTATTCTGAATACATTCGTTTCTTTCCAGACACGTTCCCTCTGTCTTGCTGTGACACCTGCTCTCTGTATTGGTTGGGTGGCAGGTTCAGGATTGTTCCCTTCTTTGGCTCTTACTCAGACAGAGCTGATCCTTTAGCTGTCTCTTTCCTCCTTTTGGAGTGACGTTCCAGATCAAATGAGTCTCGTCTTTCCTGCCCTCTCCCATCTCATGGATGTTATTAGAGATGGGCCTAAGGCAAAATCTCATTCAAACTCCCTCAAGCTGTTTTGTGGGGAAAGAGAACAGTTAAGACCCAAGATCTAGATCCACGCTTCATGTAGGCTCCTCGTTCTATGATGTGCCCAATAGAAACCCTGGATCTGAGCACCACTGAACTCTACAGCTCAGGCCTGTCTTTAGTTGATGACAGTTTGCACTTTCTTAGCATGTAGAAAAGGGTCTCAGTCCTTAGAAGCACTAATTAATTCAGGGAAATAATATACAGGTGGCTTAACTAAGGCATAGAATAGTAAAGTGGTTTGCCTAAGGTCTTAATGAATCATTGGCAGCGCAGGAACTAGAACCTGCAAGTCCTGGCTCAGAAGCCTCTTTTCCAACCCCTTGATCACACTGCCTTTAATGGTATAAGCTCCCTGAGAATAGATTTTTGGGTTCCTGATGAGGACACTTAAACATGTTATTTCATGTTACTGAATTAGTGTGGGGCCTTTATTATAAGAGGGAGACTCACTGATTTTTCAGTCCTCTCTTTTGAAGACAATAGCTCCTTCAGAAGAGAACTCATTCAAATGAAAGCACCCTCACTTCCAAGAGAGCCAGATTGTGCTCTGCATGGTGACTGGTTCTGAACACTACGCCAGCAACTGACTGTTCAGCCTCCAGCTCGTCTACAAGTGACACTGCCTTCAACCGCAGCACCTTTGCTGGCATTAGAAACTTTAATTACATGGTATAGTAATTACACTAACCTCTGCACATTTTTCTTCTTTCTGGGCAGCTTTTGCGTAGGTGGTTGGCTGATTTATTTTTATATATAAGGTTAATACTAGCACCACTTGGGCCTTGCTTATTGAATAGCTGTCACATCCTACATGTAACTTGATTAAGGTTATATAATTTAACCTTCTATAGGTTTTCTGCTTTCCAATAAGCACATCAGAGATGTCACTGTGCTAGCAAGCTCTGTACAAGTACAGGCAATACTATACGTCCCCTTAATGCTGTATCCTAAAATGTTCTACAGCATTATCTACTAGCACTAATATGGTGATGATAGCACTGATTCAGGTATTGCCAATCACTTTACAAATACTAAAGAATTAAGCCTCACAAACACATCTCAGAGGCAGGTGCATGGGGAGTTATTGTCCCAGTTGTACTATGAGTAAATTGAGCACAGTTGCCAACTTTCACGTGGTAAATAAGCACCCCGACTTTCACAATAAGCCAAAAATCAAGCTAATCCCATTTCAAAACAAGGCCAAAACAAGCCCATCCCTAAGAACCCCAACACTCTATGGGATTAGATCCCCCCGGCGTGCAGTCTGGGACTGTGGTGGGCCTGCTGTGCACCCTTGACTCTCTCCCCCCGCCCCCCTGTCCCTGCTTGCCAGGAGCCGATCAAAAAAAAGAAGCAACAAGTCACAAGCCAATCAAGCAACAAGCCAAAAACTAACCAGCAAGCAACTCACAAGCCAATAAGCCAAAAACAAGCCCAATTTCTGCATTTTTTTCACGGGTTTGCCATGTCTGAAATTGAGCCATAAGGAATGTTGCCCAAGGCCACACAAGGAGTCAATGAGAGAGCTGGTAATGAAGCCCAGCATGTCTGAGGGCCCATGCACTACGCATTAGACCATACTTCCTCCCCAACAGCAGAGACAAATTAAAAACTAGAGACAAGGAACTGAGATTTTTCCAATATGATTTGAAAGACAATGGGTGGTGCTGGATGCTCGGCCCTTGAACATCAGGGCACTTATTTAAGTGCTGACTTGGGAGCCTAACTGTCTGCATCCATTTTTTAAAATCATGGCTTGAATATTTATCAATAAATAATACACTAGTAAAATGAATTAGTCCATTCATAAATAATCACTATGCCGGCTGAGCAACTGTGGATTTCCTGATTTTCCATGTGTTCTAAAGAGGTGCACCCGTGCACTTGCTAGTTACCACGTCCAGTCATTGCCACTTTAAATGTAGGGGAAGCCTGCTTTGGTCTGTTGTTACAGCAGCATCTCCTCGTAACTCTTCATTTCGTGCGCTGACAAAGTACACATATATCCACTGACATTTCTGAAGCTGCTGCTGAAATACATTAATGATGCACCTGTGCATAATAAGAATACTGAGTTTTACACCCATTGATATGTTGTGCCCAGGAGATATCTAGGTAAGGATGCTAACCAACATTTGATAGATATGCGCACAGACAGGGTCTGCAGCTTGCCCAAGTTTACAGAGCATAGCAGTGCCAGAGCTAGCACCAGAATACAGCAGACTTTAATGTCTGGTTTTGTCCTCAGACCATACCTCTCTCATGACTATGCTAACAGGAGCAGGGTCAGATTAATACATAGGCAAAGAAGGCATGTGCCTACACCCAAATTTGGGATGCGGGGGAGGGGCAACCTGAATGGTGCTCTGACTCTGGGCACCAGCAATGCCAAACACTCAAATTTGGCCCAGCAGCCATGAGGGAGGAGCTGCCGGGTCAAATTTAAGTGAACAATGGGGCAGTCAGCACCTAAGTTCCCTCTAAAGGCCACACAGCAGCCTATTAAGCACCTTGCAGGCGCTCAGGGCTGCAGTGGGGAGAGATGCCTCCCCCCAGCCCTGGAGCTGCCGTGGCTGGGAGAAGCACCTCTCCCCTCCAGCCCAGGTGCTGCTGTGGAGAGAGAGAGAGCTTGGGGGAGTCCTCTCTCCCCACTATAGCTCCGGGGTAGCCTGCATCCCAAACCCCTCAGCTCTGGCCCCACCCCAGAGCCTGCACCCAGAGCCTTCACCCTCCACCCTCCAACCCTCTGCCCCAGCCCTAAGTCCCTTCCCACACTCCGAACCCCTCAGCCCCACCCCCGCCACATGAATTTTGTTATGTGCACTAATATAGAGGTGATGTGTCACACATCACCTCCTCTTCATATTAGCGCACATAACAAAATTCATTCTGCACGTGTGTGGGAAAAGTTAGCAGGAACACTGGTCAGTACTGCTCCTCCTCGCTGCTGCCGTGGGGCTGGATCCTGCACCAGGGTTTCCCCTTCCAGCAAACCATGTCCCCTTTGCTCCTGCACACCAGACTCGCTCAGTGACAGCCTCAAGAACTGCTACATGTACAGAGAGCTGCAGTGAGTGCCCATATGGGGCAGCCAGCTGGGAAGGGAGTGACCAGAAGCCCTGGGTAGGGCAGACGCAAGGGGGTCAATAAGGCAGTGTCTGTGCATCAGGAGCTAGTCACTGACCTGGGTAGGAGAGGAGTAACTAAGGTGCCACAAGTCCTCCTGTTCTTCTTTTTGCGGATACAGACTAACACGGCTGTTACTCTGAAACCTAAGCAACATCTGTGCAGCAGGAGCCAGACATGCTTGGGTTAATAGAGCACTAGCACAGCTGTGCCGGCAAGGACAGGGTTAATATACCTGCATCCATACTGCTTGGGAGCAGCTAGCTTAGCTGGCCAGTAGAGGGACCCAGAAGTGTATGTTTGCCAACGGCCCAGTGATGGGTTAAACCAGCCCTGAACAGGAGTGAGGGAATGAATGATAGGAATGAATGAATACATGTTTGTGCCAACTGTCCAGGTAGCTTGTTTGCAGTGACCTGAATAAGAGCTCTGTGTAGCTTGAAAATGTGTCTCTTTAACCAACAGAAGTTGGTTCACTAAAAGAGATTACCTCACTCCCCTTGTCTCTCAGGGAGCTTGCATGTTTTCCCCAGAAGATGGCGAACTTGGCCTTCTAATTTGATCCATCATCCCAGTATATCTGTAGAAAGGCACAGTCTGGGGCTGGTGCTATGAGAGGCTGGGATGAATCAGGTTCCTGCCACAGCCTAAACAGAGCCACTTACTTTGGCAGAAGAAGAGGGGTGAAGGGGAGATTATTCACTGGTTCGCAAAAGGCCTGTCATGTGTGAGCACATTTGTGGGCCGCGGCATTTGAGCGGATTCCAGGGGAGGCTGGCAGAACGGGAGGGAGCCGATGCCTGTCAGTAGAACACTTCGCCAGTCATTTGCCTTTTTAATGGAAAAGGATTCATGCCAAGTGTGAATCCTTCCTTCTGTGTTTGACGCAGATCCGCCTGGGACAGCTTTGGCACCCCAAGAGACAGTAACAGTGTTATACACTGAAAATTGGAAATCTTTTTAAATGAGTGAGTTTCAAACAATGCAAATTCCTGATATAGCCCCTTTAAATAACAGCATGAACAGACATTTACAAAAGGTCTGTACAATAATATTCTAAGGGGTTTTCTGCTCTTCTGCAATATTACAAAGATCTTTTAAACCAACTCAAGAGAAACATGCTTGAGCGCACCTCTCCTCCCACTCCACTTCCTCTCTGGGCACATTTCCACCTGCTTGCTGCCTTTTCAGCTTCAGCGTTGCTGCTGCTATTGGTGCAGGGCCTGGGACTCAGAGTGCATGAGATCCTCCCTAGAGCAGTGCAGGAAGGAAGGCATCTCGCTAGCACGGGGGACAGGAAGCACAACTGCGCATCAGCATAACAGTGGAACAGACATGACACAAAGTGCTGCCAAACACACAAAGTAAACAAACTGAATAGCATTCAATACATTTCCACCCTATCCTTATCTCTTCCAGTTACTGTCTCGGAGGTATTATTTGTAACAAAAGTATCACTTTTTCAGACAGAAATGCAATTTTTCAAGTTGACAGCGTCCCTTTATGCAGATAAGATGGCGAAGGTTCAGTGCCAACGAGCGGTAGACTTATAATAGCATCCATTAGTGCTGTTAG